TCCCAAACCGATAAAGATACCAAGACCGATAAAACAGCAAAATGTTGAAAATGGATCAAACTCTCCAGAAAAGCATATCCAGTGTAGCTTACTCCGCAAAATTACTCTAAGTGTTACAAAGTTAAGAGAAAAAATATACTTTTTTATTTTCCTGGTATATTCCAACATGTAAACTGTATTTTTGAAAATTGAATAAAATTAATTAAAACCAAAACAATTATGTACATTATGAAAAAAAAAAGATTGAAATCGAACTTTGGAAGAAAAAGTTATCCTACATCAAATTTGATCTAAATTTTGGTTGTCCCGAATTTTGTGTCGGTGAGCCATCTATCCATAATGAGCATAAAAATGCAAATATCTGTTATTAAGAGAAAGTACCGCCATCTAGTACCTAATAAATTTATTTTAAAATTGTGATAGGTTTCTTTAACTATTTTCATTATTCCTCATTGATACTTTTATTTGAATAAAACGTTTATTTACGACTAATGTATAATGTGCGTATTATATTTGTGATTTTGGCAGTATAATGACATATGTTATTCCTCCAGGGATTAATGACGAGTAGCGGGATTAATGGTCATTATTCCACAAAAGTGTCAGTGTCAAACGTGTAGTGCTTGTGGATTTGTATTGAAAATTATGAGACGGATGAAATTTGTTCATTGAAAATCTCTAATAAATTAATTTGTCGTAAATAAAGTAGAGTATACTACTCGCAATAATGGCTGCTTTCAACAAAAAAATGTATTTCTGTCTTTCTCTAACTTCTGATTCTGAAATGATTATTCTAACTTGATAACTTAATTAATTAGTGGTATTGTGTTTTCAACATAACCTTAATTTAAATTATTCTAATTTGCAAATAATTATAGTTATTTATGTATTAAGGGAATTATGAGGGTGTTCATACCCCAGAATTTCATTAGATTTAATATTCCAGGATTTTCAATTAACTTCCTTGCGATAATTAATATATAAAAAAAAAACGAAAATAAATAATTAAGTTATTATATATCTCATAAGTTCGGGATGCAGGAATATTTCCAAAATCAAAGCGCGTTTGGAACAAATTACGTCCATTGTGCCTTAGGCAAAGCGAAAAAGGCCTATGAGTTGGAGATTTATAGCACGATATCAATAAAGCAAATAGATTTTGCCGCTGGCCGATTTATGGAATTTCCCGGATAATATAGGATTTCGTTTATATTTACTTAGGATGACGGCAGAAGAAATTCAATCTTCAATGGGAGGAAAAATTTAAAGTTGAACGGAAATTGAAGTCGGACAGAAGAAGCCTGTGTTCAGAAAAATAATTTTATATTTGAGATTAGATTTTAATCGGATTTTGAGGCAAAAAAAAAAAAAAAAATCTGTCATGTCAGAAGTGACGCTTTCCCAAAAGACTGCGTTCTAGTACGTCCTAATTGTTGGTCTTAGCCAGTGTTGGTAGATCAATGTAGTTGAAATACCCCAGACGAGCTCAAAAAAGTCCCTAAATATCAATACAAAAATCCCTAGTTTCGTACTAAGCAGCATACTCATGTGTTGTCATTATGATATGTATTGTATTTACTTTTTCTTTAATTACTAAAAATATCCCTAGGGAGAAATTCCCTAATATACCATCACTGGTCTTAGCAACTAATACTGTCGCACATTATATTGTTAGCGAGTGGCACCATATCTCACCTTTGCTTTTTTGAATGATAAAACAGGTTCTTTAGACATTGAAAGATATATTTATAAAATTCAAATGATATTGTATCAGTAATGTTAATTACAAGAAGTTCAGTGGACTTATTTAGGCTCAAATACACAAGAATATAATGACAGAGATTACTCACAAATATGGAATCAAATACAACGGATGCCTTCAAGGCTCAAAACGAGTGACTTTCCCAACTTCAAAAGATCAATATTGTATTCTTTCAAACATTGCTAATCAGCATAATTTTTGGCATGCAGCATCGTCACGAAAAGTATCTGGGACAAAAATAATTCATAATTATCTCCTAGAATAATTCTACCATCAATCATTTTATAAATTGTATTCATAGTTTGACAAACTTTGACATTAATAATAATTTAATAGTATAGAGGCCGAGTTCGTTTTTGTCATCTTTTTCGTCGATTTCCTCCGAAATTTTGACAGACACGTGATTTGTAACTTGAAATTGTCTTATTCAGTCACGTGCCTGTCAAAACTTCAGAGCAAATCGACGAAAAAGATGACAAAAACGAACTCGGCCAGTATTTACAAAGTCAGTTGAAACAAGGTAAAGGTAATTTGCAACTGGTGGCGGACTAGTGGCAGTGCATTTCTTATGAAAATATTCAGTCACCAGTTGTAATTTACCTTTACCTTATCTCAACTAACTTTGTAAATACTATACAAGAGTTAATATGATACTGTCCCAGTTACTTTTGGTGACGATGGTACCTTAGATTTCAAGAAATCGAGGCCAACCTAAATAGATGCTAAGTTTTAAATATTTACAAATAATTAAATAAAACTTCAGTACAGTAAATCAGGATACTAGGTAATTAATGTCATAGAAGCTATATTAATTCTGTATAGTTTATATTTCGTAATTTCAAAGAAATTGAAGTGATAAAGTTGGTCTTCATATTTGTAAATATCTAAAGCAATCACTATTCTAAGTAACGCGTGAACGCATATCCAAATCCTAGTCGAGGAAAGAATTTTTTTCATCAATTTTAATCAACGCCTGCATGCCACCTCATTGACACACTATAACTTTTTTTAAAGTTAAAAGTCCAGATACCATGGAAACACGGCCTATGTGTTCCACCCAAAACCAAATCGATATTTACATAATATATGAAAAACTGTATTCAGAATTTTTTTTCAAGTTTGACACTAATGTCAATGGGGTCAACTTTTTTGAAACCGATCTCACATTCTTGTCTTAGATTTTCATAAGCTATCGTTTAACAGCAAATTTGAATTTAACCGTAGATTAAATTTAATCGGAATTTTCAATCCTTGATTAAATTCAAAGTTGGTTTTCCTCTAAAATTAACCGTTTAGGTTTCACAGCCTGTCAAATTTGCAAAAGAGTCAATTTTTAACTGTCAATATTTCCAAAACAATTGAACTTAGGTATAGGGTATATATCACATGAAAACTGCTCAGAATTTTAAGTAGAATCCAAATATGCAATCACATACAGGGTGTCTCATTTAAAATAAGCAAGTTGATAAAGTGTGGGACCAATAAACTCTACAAACATTTAACAAAAGTATTTCAAACATGCATAGATAAACAAGAAGTACCGGAAGAGTGGAAAGTAAGCTATTTAACAACGATATATAAGAAAGGAGACAGAAACAAATGCGAGAACCACCGAGGAATTGCAGTAACAAATACGCTGAGCAGAGTGTATGGAAAACTCATAAAAGCCAGAATAGAGAACGAGTACAAAGATAGTGAGGCAGAAGAACAGGCCGGTTTTAGAGCAGGAAGATCAACTGTAGACCATTTATTCAGTTTGACCCAGGTAATGGAAAAGAAACTAGCCTATAACCAAGAACTCCATTTACTTTTTGTCGATCTAAAGAAAGTATACGACAATGTTCCGCTGAAAAAGCTTTGGGAAGCACTGGAAAAGACCAATATCAACTTAGAACTAATAAAGGCAGTAAAAACGCTCTATAGTGATGCAAAGACCAAGATTAAACAGGGAAACTCAATCAGTAAAGGCTTTATAGCAACTAAAGGACTTAAACAGGGATGCTGCATATCACCAACACTTTTTAAAATATACTTAGAACAAGCGCTCAAAGGGTGGAAAAACAAATGCAGACACATGGGAATACCGCTCAATGAATACAATCTTTATGCTTTAAGCTTTGCAGATGATCAAGTATTAATTGCACAGGACTATGATGACCTAGAGTACATGACACGAAAATTGATAGAGGAATACGAGAAATGGGGTTTGGAAGTAAATTTAACGAAAACAGAATATATGACTATAGGAGGTGAACAACGAAATCTGAAATTGAATAACGGACAAGAAATAAAACAATGTTCTGAATACAAATATTTGGGCATGAAAATCTCACACGAGGGAACCCTAGACGAAGCAATTAAAGATAGGAATATACAAGGACGCAAGGCAATATCCCTACTAAATGGTGTACTGTGGGATCAAAATATCAACAAAACTAACAAAACGAGAATATACAACACCATAGTCAAAAGCATAGTCACGTATAGTTCAGAAGTCTGGCCACTAAAGACCAGAACCGCAAAAATGCTGGAAGCAACTGAAATGGACTTTTGGAGGAGATCGGCAGGCAGGTCAAAAATGGAGAGGATAACAAATCTGAGAATTAGGGAGATTATGGACGTAAAACACACAATAATAGATGATATAAAGGACAAACAGCTGATTTGGTTCGGACATGTACAAAGAATGGCAGATACAAGAATACCCAAGCAAATAATCGAGTGGAAGCCAGGGGGAAGAAGAAGACGCGGCAGACCAAGAAGAAGCTGGAGAAGTGGTGTAGACGAGGAAATGAAGGACAGAGGCCTAGAAGAGGATGCCTGGATTGACAGAGATGGTTGGAGATCGGGAATCGGAAGACGTAGAACGTTATAAACCGATAATTATATATCGTCGGTCCCAAGGCAAAACCATGAATGTGCAAAATTGGCTATTTTCACCTATCTACATTTTTCAAACACCTCTAACCAACTCTTGCCAATGCCAAAACCACGAATTTCTCAGCATCATACTTTAGGTGGGGATAGTGTACTCATTCTGACGTAACTTTAGTATGCATCCGACCCTCGCAACGCGCGTATCGTGAATGTGACACTTTCGTGGTTTTGGCTTTGCAATAAAAGTGCTAGATTAGTGAATGTGGTACATTCGTTTTTTTGGCATTGTATGTTGATAGTATAGTTTGTGACATTCGTGTTTTAAGTTAATACAACATTCGCATTTTTGTGACTTGTGAAAATGAGCAGCGTCGATTATAAAGTTATGTACAACAAAATGAAAAACGTAACATCTAGAACACAAAAAATAATGGATTTCGTGAGGTCCGAACATGAAAAAGATGAGGGTGCTATGAACCAAAATGGGAATACGGTAATAGAATACTTAAGTTTGCATCTAGAAAGGAAATTGCATTTTATTTATTTTTGTTAGGTGGCCAAGGATAGAGGAGACATTGAAATTTGTGAAACTTCCCTACAAACGCCCAATATAACAGGTAGAGATATTATTATTTTGTATGATTGATTGAACCTTTTTCAAAACCGAGTTATTGTTTTAGATGCAATTTCTGACATCGATGGTCCACAAGAAATACTATCTTTTGCCAAAAGCCAAAATGTGTCAACTACCGAATCAAAGTCTACTACGGATGAAAATGTTAATGATGATCAAGCTCTCTCATCTACCAAAATAGCAGGTGATTTTTTTTTTAAATAATGTTTTTGGGGTATTTCTTGACCAAGGTAATTGTTTTAGCTGAATATCCAGTAGATAATTATCCAATAACTGAACCAGGATCAGAATCTGACCACAAAGCATCGTCATCAGATAATTATGACCCTGAAAATGAATCTTCAAGCAGCTCTTCTAGCTGCTCCACTTGCTCAAGCTCTTCGAGTTCTTCCGAAGACTCAAGTCAAGAAACAAGTAAGTTAAAAAAATATTAAGAAATACAAAACACACATTGCTTATTATTCTAGGCAAACTTCCACTAAAGAGGAAAAAGAAAAATATTGGAACTTGGAAAAAAAATATTAGGAAACAAAAAAGACTTAGAGGCGAGGCATACATAAGTGTTAAAAATATAGAAAAACCAGCAAGGCCGTTACTATCACCCCCATGCGCTGCCAAACCCAAACATAAATGCCTCCAATCTGTTTCAGAAGAGAATAGGTCAAAAATTTATGTGGAATTTCGACGACTTTCGGCATTAGATGATCAACGGAGTTTTATAATTCATCATGTTGAACAGATACCAAAAAAGAGAATCACGAGAAATCTTGAAAATTCCAGAAGGGTAAACACCTGCAATTATTTTCTTACCGTTGATGGACAGAAAATGAAGGTCTGTCGTGAATTTTTTATGTCCACACTTAATGTAACAGATTCATTCATAAGAATATCTTTACAAAAACGATCTTCTACTGGTATAGTGGAAAAAGACCGTCGTGGTAAACACACCCCTGCTAATAAATTGACTGACGATTGTTTGCAAATAATACGTGACCATATTTCAACATTTCCTGCAGTTGAATCCCACTACTGTAGATCCTCAAGTAAAAAAAAATATTTGGACCCTACCCTCAACTTGTCCATAATGCACAATATGTACAAATCACTATGCGAAGAAAAAAATATTCCCCCTGTTTCACTTGAAAAATACAGACAAGTTTTCAAAGAATACAACGTGGGTTTTTTTAAGCCAAAGAAGGACCAGTGCAAGATATGTTTGGCACAGAAAAATATGACTGGAGAAGAAAAAGAAGCCCAAGAAGAAACTTTCCAACAACACTTGAAAAGAAAGGAATCGGCACGCAAGACTCGCAATGAGGATAAGTTGGAAGCAAAAGACAATTCTACTTTATTAGCATTTAATTTTGATCTCGAGGCTGTGCTCACAACTCCGAAAGGAGCTGCTGGACAGATTTTTTACTTGCGTAAGTTAGCTGTTTATAATTTGACTATTTACAATATTGGAAATCAAGATGGCATTTGCTATCTATGGGACGAAACTCAGGGAAAGAGAGGTTCAAATGAAATCGCTTCTTGTATTTATGAGTACGTATTATCTAATACAGAAATAAAAGAAGTTAGAATGATGTCGGATGGCTGTGGTGGCCAACAAAAAAATTCAAATTTTGCTGCTATGTGTATGCACCTTATTTCTGTTCATCCTAGCTTGAAAATTATAGATCATAAATTTTTCGAAACCGGACATACCGAAATGGAGTGTGATTCCATTCATTCTAAGATTGAGCAGAAAGCTAAGCATGTTCCTGTATACATCCCTGAAGGTTGGGCGCAAGTAATACGAGATGCTCGAATGAAACCACGCCCATTTGAAGTGAAAAGTAGAAGTTTTGATGATTTTTATGATTTTAAAGAATATGCAGCACAAAACTTTGACATGAGCAAAATACCATGGCGTAAGATTTGCTGGATACGTTATCTGAAATCGGACAAGACAGAAGTGTTTTACAAAATAGGTTTTGACCAAGAATTTCAAGAAGTTAACTGCAAAAAGAAGTTTCGCGGGCGGCCAAAAACAGTTGAGCTAAAAAAAGCTTACGAATGTGAGTTACCCATTGCGAAGCCAAAATATCTGGATTTACAAAAAATGTGTTCTGATTTGACAATTCCAAAAATTCATCACAGATTTTACAAGTCGCTGAATTATTATAATAATAAAATTAGGGATAGATTGCCAGAACCAGACGAAAGCGAAAATACTGACACAGATGAAAATTGAACCATGATACTCAACTTGATACTCAAGCAGATAAATTTAGTTACTAGTTGTATTTTCCATATTTTTTGAGAAAACCTTTTTTGAATTTATAGTTTATTTGGTCAATTATTTAGATAAGTTGCCAAGTTGTTTTTTTTCTCAGAATAACAATTCTTGAGTTTATCCTAGTTTTCCCAACAGGAACATGTAAATATTTAAGAGTTTTTTGAATAAAAAAATATTAAAAAACATTGTGTCCTTAGGTTTTCTTATTGCACTGTAAGTGATTTGAAAGGCAAGTATGCAATGCCAAATCAATGAAAGTGACATTTTGGAAGGAGGGGGCAAAGCAAAAAAAAAAAAAAATAAGCAGGTCATAAACTGTCAAAGTAGATCCTATAATCTACTAAAAAATGAGTTAGTCCGAAAAAATTCTGATTTTTCACAGATTATTAAAACTTTAAAACTTAATTATCTGCAAATCATGATTTTTCACTTTCATGGTTCTGGCATTGGACCGACGATATATAAGTTGATGTCTACTTCCGGTATAACCGGAAATGCCACAAGATCGATTTGGATTTCGGTGGGACACCCTCTATATCTATTTATGTGATCATATACCACGTGCATCCTTCCTGCTGAACCGTTTCAACAAAAAAACATTTTACTATAAAACGCTTCTATAAACACCCCATAAACCGTTATATCTCGTTGAACCGTTTCGATCTAAAACGTTTTAACCAATTTAAAAACGGTTTAAATACATACTGCGTAAACATCTCAAACGGATTTGAGGGAGTGCCAGCATTGCACATTTGAAAACTGCTTCGAGAAAAGCCCTACCATAGAGGTATACATACAGGATAAAACGTTTTAAGTTCGAAAACGTTTTATCGGTTAAAACGGTTTAAGGGAAGCATAAACTTAGTAATAGTTAGCAGCCTCGTATACTGAGTTTTGTTAGTTTACGTCAGAAGGTACGGATAATCAGCTATTAACTATGTTCCAAGGAAATTGTGCACATTCACCTAAGTAGTCAAATATTTCAGAACTTTTAATCATTTACTGTGAGATGGGTAATATTTCAAAAGTTTTCTCGTTAATAAATTCAGGAAATAAAAAGTGTTAATGACTCGAAGGCCACTAGATAAAAGAAAAAGAGCATTAGTAGATGCCAACGCAAAAGATAAAATACAAAAATTAACAATTTTATGCTAGAAGGTCGATTGTATCTGACTTCTTTGTCTAAGGGTATAAGAATATAACTTGGTTAGACTAAAAAAAAAATAAAGATTAGGAACATTTTGAAATATGTAATACAAACCACGAGCTTTATCAAACAAAATCTCACAATTTGTTTCCAATTTTAATTTGAACATGGCACGAAATTTTTCCGGAGAATGCTCTTGAAATTTTATACAGCAACAACTAATAGATTTTGAAGTAGGCACAAGTTTAATTTATTCAAGGGTCTGAATAAAACACAATTCAAAATAATTCTTATCAGGTTTTATTCGGTTACAATAAGGGAAATAGGTAACTGTATTGTAGTATAACAACCCTGGGTTCGTTCAGTAAGATTGAACGATGTGAATTTTAATTATCTTTTAAACAACAAATCTTCTGAAAAATGAAATGAAAAGAAAATAGGAACTACGTTTGTTGAAACTTACTCAATCTTACTTACTGGACATGCACCCGACATAGCAAATATTAGGGAAATTCAAGGGAGGTTGTGATATGTAAAAGAAACGGAAAATTTGTGAAACGTCTACTTTATTATTAAAGTAAATCATACCGTTCTCATCCTGGAACTAACGAGGGAAAAGGGCACGGCAGAGAACTCCTCGATCAACATTCCTCAAAAATCAAAACATACTGTGTAATTTTTAATGATAATTGTGAATCATTTTTCCAATAATTTAAGTCAATGATTCAATAAAAGTTTAAATTAGGTACCTACCAGCCTTTGCCTTTGTGCTAAAATTTTAATTCCACACACAACATTCAATCAACACTACCTATATTCAATACTGAAGAGTTTTTGGTTAGTTAGTCCCATACGATAAGCTACTCAGCTATAATTGTCTTTGAGCCAATATCTCTAGATTGATTATTTCAATTTGTTTGCTAGGATATTCGCTCGTCAGGGTAGGAAAATGTTAGTAAATTCAACAAAGCCCTAATGTACGCTCTGAATACCCAAATTAAAATTCCAGCACCAAAGACAGCACTTAATTTCTTTGATTTCAATTTACCCTTTATCTGTGTTGTTTTTGTTTACAGCATGAAACGATTTTTGTCAAATACATGAACAATGCACATGTTATAAAAAATGTTATAAGCAAACAAAAAAACATAAAAATGAAAAAAAAAAAAACAACAAAAACAATTATTCAAATGACCTGTGGATGCTCCTTTTGACACACAAACTAATCACAAATTGAATTGAACAATCAGTTTAACCCTTCGTCAGTGTGGTGGGGTATGGCATACCCCAGACGACCTTTGTATCCTTGCATTTTCCAAATTCGAGTACGTGACGTCAGCTAGTGGCCAGTAGCTTGAGATATTGTGTTGATCTACATGATAAAATAACACGAATCGCCAAATATTGTATCATTCGTGAATAAGGCGACATCAAAGGCGATTGGGGCATGACATACCCCACCACACTGATTGTGTAACCATTTTCTGCAGAAGTAGATACGCAAGATATGTTATTTCTTATCAATTTTTCGCTCATAATACATTTTTCTATGTAGTAATAGTCGGATATCATGTCATACGAGACAGAGCAAGCTCATTTGCGAAAACTATGGGAAGAGGTAGATAGAGAAAAATCCTCGCCTCTGGGCAGGCGAGACCAGGGTTTTGAGACCATTGAGTCAAAAAAGTGAGCTTGGTCTCATGAAAAACCAAAACAAGCGATGAAAAGTTTCATCAAGATGTTTGATTTGTTCTCGAGCTAAAGATAGGAAGATATTTTACTGCTGTCAGAAATGTGGGACATCCATATGCATGGGACATGCAAATTTACCTTTTTTGTCAAAACTGCATCGACTTTGAAGCAGCCTAAAATTTTATGTATTCACCTTTTAGGATAATTTTTTCAACACGATAATGACTTATGTTTTTTGATTCAAAATGTTAAGCTTTTCTTCGTCCAGAACTCATTAAATAATTTCAAAACCGATAATAACTTCGCAGTATGTTTAATTTGATAAAAATACCGATTTACAAAGATTATGTATCATGAAGCATTAAATAGAAAATCTAAGAGTCCGAATCATGTTTTTATTGAAATTAATTCCATATATAAGGTAAATAAACTAATTAAATATTTATTTGATGCCACCTTAATTTGGAAAGCGAAAAAAAGTTTGGGGTATGACATACCCCACCACACTAACAATGGAACTTTTTTCTACCACACTGATGAAGGGTTAATACAAAATAAAAATGAAAATTGGAAAATGAACAACTCCAGACAAGCGTCTTAAAGGACCCGTCCAGCTTCTTCTCTAGTCTAATCGCTTATTCTCTCTGCCTCCCCTTCGGTGGTACCTTTTTGTTGTGGCGCACTCCCGTTCTCTTAAAAATCCACAGCGCATACAGAGTTGCAACATTCACTTTTTTTCCTATAGTAGACGTTTTTTTAAAAAGTAAAGATTCAAAGAAATAATATTTGAAATTTCCTTTTTCGTAGGCATAAATAGTTTTCCAATAGGATGTCCGAATGGCAGAGCTTTAATTGTAACAAACATAAAAACAAATCTTAGAAAACCATTAAAGTTCGGAACATGGAACGTAAGAAGACTATTTAAGGCTGGAAAACTGGCAAACCTCACACGAGAAATAAACAGACTTAAACTGAAACATCGTGGCCTGGAGTGGCAGAGTGGCAACGTGGATAATTGAGTATTCTTCTACTCTGGAAATGACGATCCAAAACACAAGGTGTGGGAATCTAGAACTATTGAAACCTGTCGTGGACCTTATTCCACGCTCGTATCCGAATTATGAGGGTGTTAATACCCCAGGGCAAAGAGTGTGTCCCGAGGGCCTTCGGCCCGAAGGGACACCAATTGCCCGTGGGTATTAACACCTGATAATTCCCGTGGTATATAGATAATTTAATTTCTTACTGAATTTACTGTATTTTGTGCATTTTTATAAAGGAATAAGCCATAAACGAAAATTTCAATTCTTTGTCAAAGTTTTACCTATTCAAGGTAAAAACGGGTGTTATGGAAATCCTTAACTCCCTTGGCAGTTATGATATCCTTTCCTCCCGCGCGTGAGTTAAGACCCTGTTTATGATTGTCGTATCCAAGGTATTATATGGTTATAATAGTTCAGTAGGATATAATAGTTATTTATGTATCAAGGGTACTAAGTAGATGATTATGCCCTGAGGGCCACACAGACCTTCACAAATTAATGTTCAATTCCAAATTTAGACCCTTTTTCAGTAAAATGAAGTTAGCTGCATAACAATAATAATAGATTCGATTTGGGGTTTCATTTTTGTTGCAAAATACGCACTCTAAATAGTAAAATTATACAATTTTTTTAACAAAAAAATGCAAATTTTGGTTATGGATTTGAATGAAAAGGGGGGAACTCTTAGAGTAGCACACCAACAATAAATTTCCAAAATTTCGCATCATAAAATGCTGCAATTAAATGAAAATGAACAGTTTTGCCAAAAATGTATAATGTTTTTATTTCAAAATCTGTCATTGTTAGTGAACAAGCAGGTCATTGAACACTAATTGATATCGAAGATAACGTCTGGTAAGTAAGTAAATCACTTACAGCGAATGGCACGCCGGATATTGAAAAATATTTAATGTATGTCATGAAGCCCGAAAGATGGCGCGCTATCTGACGCAGCCCTTAATGTAGTACATGCTATATGCACCAACTGCGGACTTGCCGGAACATGATATGAAGAATGTTTATGATGGAATCAAGGAATTCCTAAAATGTACTAAATTATGAGTTACTTCAAT